AATCCGCATGGCATCCAAAGACGCTACCAGATAAGCACAGATAATTTCTCAATTTTTTTAAAGCCAATAGAATGACAACAGCAGTAATAGTAATATCAATTATAATTAGCTGCCTCCCCCGCCCTATTAATAGTGTGAAATAGTTCATAATTAATCTTAGTGGATAGTTATTCCTAAACAAAATATCCTAGATAAGAGCTGTAGTCAGCCCAGGTGTTATAATGTGATGAGGGACTGACAGATAAATCCTATCATAATGAAGTGATTAATCTCCACGATAGTACAGATTTTCAATTAGTCTATCTTCCCAAAAGATATTCTCCTGCGTGAAATGCGAATTTGAACTAATCTGGGCTAGAAACAGGAACTCTTCGGGATGATAGCCGAATTGCCAACACTAAACAGTTTTCTACAGTTGTGCTTACTAAATTCGGCGAAGTTCGCTAAAATTGAAACCGATCACAACCTAAATGCTATACATGCTCGCTCACAGTTTACAAATAGAGGAAAGTAGGCGATTAGTTGATTTAACGCTCAGAATCACGCCTAGCATTGCATTTTAAATAACTTAATTGTTAACTCTTTCTGGCGTGTGACCAATGGCTATATTGGCTTGATGAATATGAAGTAGTCACATTTCCAATCAAGAGCCTAAATTGTATCTTTGTTTGAGAATGATAACTGTGGTTACATGAGATGAAGGGTTGATGGTGTTGTCGTTAAGTATAAGCCATTCAAAATTAAGTCAAGTCCTCAGATGCAGAACTTTCCTGTGAGTTAGTGCTGAAAATACAATTACGTGTCTTGGAATACCAGTGATTTATTGCGAATTTATGATGTGTCAAGATACAATAAAAAAATATTTTCAATGACAATAGTGATAGTTAATAGTCCTAGAACTGACTAATTACAGGGTTTAATCCGATCGATGATAATATAAAAAATTAAATGAAAGATAAAATGTCTAGGTATATTGCTTGGAGGTCACCGATATTCAGTCAAGGGTGCCATTCCTGTTCTGTTGGAAGTGGTGCGAAATATGTTTCTATGTCACTGTTTGTAACAGCTTCTAAGGATTCTGGCCTCCAATTAGGGGACCGGCCTTTATCTTTGAGGAGGGCTTTTACGCCTTCGGGGAAATCGTGGCCACGGGCGCAGCGTGAGCTCAGGCGAAACTCCATGCGGAATACGTCCGTGAAAGACATTTTTGAGCCCTCGGTAAGCTGTCGTACAGTAATCTAGCAGAAATGATAAAATGTGGATGAATATTTTAAGTGAAAGTATGTGCGCGTATGCTGAAATAATGGTACTTGTAACTAGAAATTAGTACTTAGGTTGATACGACTGAGGAAAGATAAACACGTTACATTGCCGCCTCCAGTGAAGAATATATGATGGCTCGAAATTGTCAGATGATTACAACTGACAAATTGAAGAAGCTGTGGTAAACTGGATTTGCTCGATCTTCATGAATTCTTGTCTGATTAAGCTATAGCGACTAAGAGACAGTTATATACGCCACTTCCCAGGGCCAAAGAAAAGTTCAATCGTTAGCGAGCATAAATAATGCCAGTTTATGCATGCAGAGGTGAGTATGAGTACGCCTCACCAAGCCCACTTGGAGGGCCACAGGCTAGGGAGGTATTGGAACAGACGAAAATAGATAGGCGTCGACAGGAAAGTCGCCCATATAAAATAAAATTAAGGGACTAGGCTACAGTGCTAAATGTAGGGCAAAATGGGAGGAGAGATGCCATAATCTTTAAACAGATCTTTCACTTTTCTTACGAGTTAACTTGGTGTCAAGGATGGCGCCACTTACCCACCATGCCGACAAGATGCTGGCAAGGCTCAGGACTACTATAGCAGAGGGCGCAGAGCTAAGTACTTACACGACTTCGCTTTGACTAAATTGAAAAATGCCGAATTGAAACAGCAATCCTCCAGTATTATTGTCGGGTTAGTAAACCCAATGTGTTGCTGTTTAAACACTTTCAGCCTTAAATTCATGACATCTTCGTTTATGGAGCTTGGCTAGATTGTCATACTAAGATATATATAATTGTAGAAACAACAAATAGCCAGGTAAACTAGACATGTTAGGCATAATCCATACGAATTTATAGATCAAAGCACACAAATAATACCGCATAGTGTACAAGTACTTATTTCGATTGTAGCGTATCAAATGCCTTCGAATAAAAGCATTGCTAATCTTAAATATAATTGACCTTTAGTGCTGATTTAACCTCGTTTTCACAACTTGACCAGAGTAACAGATCTTGTGGAACGTACTTAATCCTGCATCCTATGTCATAATGGATATCATGATTTCAAGTATCGAACTGCTGATTTGGCACATTCCCTGATGTTCCTCTGGCAGTGTCAATGAGAAGCGCTATCCTTGGCACGAGGTTGCAAGTAATGATGCCAGCGAAACGCCTGGGAAGGTATCAAGTCAACGATCCGCTGCTGGAAATCATCATGAATACTATGGCAAAAGACGCAAGGCTAGGCTGTTCCACAAGGTCTCTGTCGCTCCGGCAAGATAAAGAAAGCGAGGTCATGCCAAAACTACACAGCCAAAGGGGACTATGACCAAAAAAAGGACCACGTCGTCTCAGTCTTCATATCTATAATACAATTCAGCTTTGTAAGAATAAATAATCAGATCATCTAGTTCACCGTATTTTACGAAAAAAACAAAAATTTGCAACCAAGCATATAACACATAAAGCCGGGTGTCATTCGTTAAATATTAAAATCTTAAAAATGATCACAATAATTAGCAACTATCTTATACTTGGGCAATAAATAAGTTAATTTCAGGCTTGATATCAAATGCGAGAAGTGCAAAGTTAACGATAAATTTACGAAAACAGTTTTATAACATTACCTTGAGAGATGTGGGTGAAGACTTTCTCAGCATTTCCAGTTGCTTCTGTGCCCAGATTGATGCACTTCCTAAATCAGACTTGGCCAGGACATCGAGTTCCTTCACTAACACCTCTGGGCCTGACGCCATTAGAGCGCTGGAGGAACCAAAATATTTGTCTATTAATGGAAGAGTGTTTGCAAGCTCTGGAGCAATACATTCGTCTTTGGAATGGTAGGAGTCTAAGATATCCTTTATGCAATCCAAAGGCTTGGAGTCAATTTTTGTATTGGTAAGACTTGTTTTAAGATCATTTATCTGAAATAAAATAAAAGCATAATGTTGATAAATAGGAGCAAATA